TGAGGTATACCTATGATGAAAATTACAGGCCTCTCTCATCTTTTTAAGTGGGAGAACTTGCACAATTGGTGGCTGACTAAATACTTTTTTGCCCCACTGTATTTACTTCCTGCAAAAAATATAAAATCTGTCAACTATATGTGAAAAATATTCTGGAATTTAGCTATGAATAAATCAAGATTTTTCTTTCAATCATGGCCAATATTATGTGCTATAAGATTTTTGCATAAATTTGATGCACAAAAACCAATAATCTTAAGCAACACTGTAAAATGCTCAAGGGGGACAGAGATCCTGTATATCTAGTTTAATTATAATCCTGAATATTATTCTATTAAATTCAACATGCTGTTTACAACTCCCAGTAAAGGGTACTGAAGAAAATTATGATCAATGAGAAGTTTTCTTTTCCCAGAATAAAAGTGGGAAATACAAGCACTTAAAAAAAACTCTTAACATATTGAGCTGTTAGCTAAATCCTGCCTCAGCTACATGTGTGTGCTTCACTTTGACATTATTTTAGCACACATTCCACCAAGGAAAAATGTTACAATGGTTTACTTTCATTAATAAAATGAGAAACAGGTAACTGGTTGCAAAGGGATTATTCAACTTTACTTACTGATTAGGGGTTCCAGGTGGAGAACGGGATGGTAAACTTTGAGTTTCTAACCTGTCATCAGACAATGAATTTCTGCTGACAACCTCCCAGTCCATCCCACTTATCAATTTGCGAGCCAAAGGTTTACTTGGGGATCTAAAACAAATTTACACAAAATTACTAGAATGATGTATCTGAAAATTCAGTGAGGAAACTATTGGAAATTGAAATAAAAAGAAAATAAAACTAGCCCTTCTCTGCATAGGTACTGATATGCAGTGCATGTTATTTGACCATTTCTTCCAAAGACAGAAATAGGACTATTCACATGAGAACAAAGCAAAATGGAATGAGAAAAAGGATAACTAAAGACAGTAGATTATCCATATTGGCCCTTTCTACCGTAATTCTGTACTTTACTGCTAAGGGCTGAGAAGCATCTACAGTGCCACATACGGGAGGAGGAAAGCCATTTGCGAAAGAAAGCATGCTTTTCTTTTCTCTTTCCTTTTCCTTAACTCCAAATTATCCCTTCTTTGCAATTACTTGCATAGTTTACAGCTACATTCAAAGCAAACAACTTGCAAAAGAGAAGTCCAACCAACTGTACATTATTATAAATAGTATGGACACAAAATCCAAACTTTTCAAAGCATTCTACTTTAAAGTTACAAGCAGTGCTGAAATTTGAGAGCTGCAAATACAGTGAGCACATGCAACATAAAAAATAAAAGACACGTGATGCATTTGTGTGTTAAAAAAGCTCCAGCTCTGTTTAAAATTTAAGAATTTTTACTGACTTAGCTGAACCACAGCTGAATCTGACAATTTTTTAAAAATCTAGCAACAATGTAGCTATGCAAAATACAAGTGATTACAGATTTTTCAACAATTCACAGAAACTGATTTAAATGGAGTGTGATGCATAGACTCCAGATGCATAAATCATAGATTTATCTAATATAACCAATATAACACCAACTATATTTATTTACAGTTACGCAGATTTCTAGCATCCATGTTACTAGCTCAAATTTTATTCTTTTCTAGAGAAAGGATTTTTTAAAGTTTAAAAAAACAACAAAGCAACTACCATACTGCTATGAGTTAAAACATTTCTATATTGCTTTTAAGGACAACAGGGATAAGCACTGTTTTCTACAAAATTTGATCTGCTCATTCGAAATATAAGGAAAAATGACAGCCTGGATAAAAATGTTACCAACTTTTTGCAGATTAAATGAGCTTGCACTTTCTTTCTAGGAATGATGTAACTCCTTGGAAAACTCACCTTAATGATCAAACAGAAAGTTGCTTCTGTAACTTGTGCTTTCTGTAACTTGTTAAGCCAGGCAAAAACAGTCAACTGTCAAACTACATTTTGAGCACTTCATTATTAAATGTTTAAAACTCACAGTCCCACCCACTCACGCCTGTTACCAAAACTTCCTGTTCTTTGTGGAAATTTCAAAGAAACAGTTACCACATTGCAGCAATATATCTTCCACTGCCACAGCTCTATAGTTTCCTCTTCTAATATCTATATCCATAAGAACATTTAATAGTTAAATTGCTTTATTTACTTGGGTCACTTTTGGCAAAAATAAGAATTGCAGTAATTCATTTGATCTCTCAAGTGGTATAACCCAATGGCTTCAACAAGAAAGAGGTGAACAACAAAATAATGGAAACATGATGCAAAGCATGAGTACCAACAGTTGCATTACATTTTATCTGCTGTTTCAGATTATATTTTGCTATAAAAGTGTACGATTTCCTTTATTTACAGATAAGGGGCAGAGAACACCTGGACTTTAGGATGCAAGATCATGCCATTATTTAGCCTAAATTATCATATATACAACCTTAAATATTTTTAGGAAGCAAGTTCTATTGAATTCAATGAGTCTGGTTTTTGCTCAAACATGCACATTCAGGATTTGTGTAAAGATTAGTCTCTCTGCTCTCTGCTGGCTACCATCCTCTGACATACGCATGGGAAGGGACTTGCATGTGTTTACTGCAATTCCTATATGTCTTTTCATAAAGTATGGCCTTGACATCTCCAATACATCTTTCTCTCTGGAAAACCCATTTCAAAAGACATCTGTTTCTTTGTGTTCTACCACAAAACTTTTTCTGGATTTCTAGGCTAAGTGTACTTTCTAGGGATTGTGATTAACAACTAGCTTCTGAAATCCATAGCCTGGCTCTGGTTCCTTTTTTCTTCATCTGCTCTACATGGTCTAGGAATGCTTCTCTCTTTGAATTTACACTGAGGATCCATTCCCCATTTCACTCCTTCTTCATCTTGGTAGATGAAGCTTTTCACTCAGTTCTGCCTGCCTGATTTTCTTGGTGGTTTCCTCCTCCTCTCTCTTCATCTGCCAGAATGCAACAAAGCTACCTTGGCTCTCTGCTGCTTTCCTGCTTTTTCTCACTTTCTCCTAAGACAATCTTCAATAATGTGACTATAATTTTGTTTTTTATTGCCTTTTCCTATTTTTTTCTGAGTTAATTCCTGAAATCACTTCTCTGTTTTTGCTACTAGGAACCATACAGGGGTGCTTTACAATCTAGTTCATGGTGTATAATTTTTTGGTGGCCAGGGATTGCACTTATTTTTTTCTGAGAAAGTGAGGTCCTGAGAAAATGAGCAAGGCCATGTCAGTCCATTCTATTTTTATTGGGGTGATGGGGGGGAGGGGTTTGACCTTTTTATTCAGACTTAAATTATTGTTTCTATTGGTAGAAAATGCTAGGAAACTATATTGTTAATTTTTGGCAATTGATCTAGGTAAGCAATTCAAAAATGCTCCACAGTATCTCTCCTATTACTTTTGAAATATACCAGTTTCTGGGCAAGTCTGTGACCCAGTTAGAATAGTGTCAGGAGTTGGAGATATTCTAGAGCAGTGCTTCCCAAAATTGAGTAAAAGTGTTTTTTTCTTTGGGTAACAATACACGGATCCATTCACAACAGGAACATTTAAACTGACTTAAAGATTGCCACATATACTAAAATGTATTTGAAAATCTCTCAAAGTATTCCTATTAAGACGAAAATCGATGAAATTACCAATGGTAATTTGTTGAAACGACATAAAGATCATTCAGTGATCTTGTCTTTATAACGCAGGTAGTCCTTGAGTTACAACCATACATTCAGCAACCATTCAAAGTTACAATTGTTGAAGGGAGTGACTTACAACTGGTCCTTCAATTTCCAGCCACTGCAGAACCCCTGCGGTCATGTGAACAAAATTCAGATGCTTGGCAACCAGCTCGCACTTATGACTGGTTGCAGAGTCCTGCGATCACGTGATCACCATTTGAAACCTTCCCTGCTGGCTTCCCACAAGCAAAATCAATGGGGAAGCTGGCAGGGGAGGTTGCAAGTCACTCAAGTCTCCACTACCCACCCCAGCTTTTCTTAGCTTTCTTGCATGCACCGCACCCTCCTTCCCCCCTTCACTCGCATGCATGAACCCACCAGTGCCCTCCTTCCCCCCCCGAGTTTTGGGTAATGAAGGAAAAAGTTTGGGAAGCACTGTTCTAGAGGAAGTTAATTGGGCAAATAGAGAATATAGGTTCACCATGTGTAAAGGCATACAACCATCCCTTCATGCAATTCCAAATCTTTGCTGATCAGGATTTCCATCATGTCTTATTCATCAATGCTGAAAGCCAATGAAGAATCTTGACCAGCTGGCATGTCTCCCAGGGAAGTATGGCAGCAAACCCGGTCCTGCTTCCTCCTAATTTTATGTGGCAAGAGAACTTCTATATAAGGTTGTTATACCCAATCACATAAGAGTAAGGAGAATCTAAATAAGAGGTTATATAAATATGTTCATCATACTGGATGCAAGTCACTTAAAATTGCTTACCTGGCAAACACCCTGTCCTTGTTTGCCCTTTCCTTGCCATACTGTACAGACTGGACCTCTGTTCTCCCACTGAAAGGGAATTATAATATTGAGATTGTAAAGAAAAATAAGTAGAGTACTTTATTTGTCTAATATAAGAAAACAGAGTAACATTCCAAACCTAAGAGTAAAATTTATAATTGCTGTATTGCCAACAGTGAACAAACAATGAGACCATCTATCTGTAATCCTACAAATGATCTTAATGCATAGTTCATATCTGTATGATTACCTCAATTGTATTGCATTTAGGGAGGTCTATCACTGAATTTATCTAAGCCTTTAAAAGTGTCAGAGAACACCATCACTACAAATATAACTTATAGTCAAGTATTTCTAAGTGAAAAATTCTGTGGCCTGAACACTGCTTTAATGGTCTCATTTCCATGATAATTACAGCAAGTCTTGGCACTACCTATTTCCCTCCTTGGTGTGACTACACAAAGCAGTTAATAAGTTTTCAATCCCATTTTAGACTGTAGCCAAGCTGACAGCGAAACCCCCCCAATCACCATTGAAGAACTGTTATTTATTCTGTAGCCCAATGCAGTTCAGACTAAACTAGTCCTTTTTCAGGGGTGCTATGTTTATGAAGCAACCTCAGCTTTCAAACAAAATTCATTAGTCAGAAATGTGCTTGGGTGTAGTGTGGGTGAGTAATCTGTGGACCCAGGACTGAACGTTCCTGAAGTCGTCTTTTTGTATCCCTAGGAGCCATGTCTCTGCTAAAACCTGAGAGGAGTTTCCTGTCATACAGAAGAAATACGAAAACTGTAGGGTAAGGCCAAAGTACACAAATCAGTTTAAAAAACAAACATACAAAGAAAACCTCCAAATTTTCCTCCTGCACCCAACCTTATCTATGCATATATGCGTACTCCCAAAAATGTTAATTGTGATTCTTGGCCACCAAAAGATTTTGCACATCTTTGGGCTACAGAATTAAGAATATGTTATTTCAGCAGCAATTTTATGTTAAGTCTTCAACTGTAACATTTATTTTATTATTCTTATATAAACACATGTAATATGGATTCAACTTACCAGTACCGAAACTTTGATCCTAAAGTAAAATAATGTGCAAAAAAGTTCTTCTGAGGTGGCAGTGGTCTGTCCAACCGGAAAAAGGTGTGATGTTCTACACAAGCTTTCCATAAATTCTTACATGCTCGATAATTCACCATGTTGAACCCCAATAAAGTTTCTCTAGATTCATGCTAGAAGGAAAAGATTAATATTTGTTAATCAGTTCCAAAGGACCCAGTGTGTACTATATGTAAGATGGAGATACCACACGTATCATATAAATATTATTGCTTCACAACAACCCCCCCACCCATACATGCATCTTCAAATTGGTAAAGTTTGGTAAAGGATTCACTAGAATGAACCCAAATGGAGGTTTCTGCCTAGTAAGCACAAAGAGAGTAAATAAACCCAAGTTTTCCTTTCCATCCCCCTCAATCTATGTAATTTGTCTGCCATGGATGATCTATTAGCTGCCAGCTGTTAATGCTCAGAAGCAATTATTAGCTTCCTATCTTCCTAAGCAAGAGCTTCTGTTTTCCTACTACCTAGGAATTATGGCAGAAACATTGCTAGATTACTAGTGACAACATTCAGTAGACAGGAACCAAAGGTACTGGAAGGTGAAAGGCCAACCTATCCAGGAAGAAGGTTTTGTGGCTGCACTCACAGATTGATGACAACAGATTGCAGCATTTTTTATCTTAGAGAATACTTCCTCCCCCCAAAAGGAGGCTATCAGCAACTTCAGAGAGCCTCTTATCATCAGGATACTATAAGCAAGACATGTATGGCCTATTTCCCTAACCCTACCCTCTCCCTACCTCCATGCACAAAGAATAATTTCAGCCAAATTACTATGTTAAAAATATCTAACCTAAGCATACACTTGTAAAGTTATATACAGTGCATTCGGAAAGTATGCAGACCCCCTTCACTTTTTTCAATTTTGTTATGTTGCAGCCTGACACTATAATCGTTCAAATTCATTTTTTTTCTCATTAATCCACACTCAGTACCCCATAATGATAAAGTGAAAACAGAATTTTAGAAATGTCTGTAAATTTAT